GACTCTTTAAGGATTTAGAGTCGACTCTTTAAGGATTTAGAGTCGACTCTTTAAGGATTTAGAGTCGACTCTTTAAGGATTTAGAGTCGACTCTTCATGTATAGAGTTGACTCTAACCTGCAGCAGGATGCAACCCTCTCTGGAATTTATGAGTCGAATGCTGGTCATATATAGTCGACTCTTTGAGGCTTTAGAGTCTACTCTTGATATGTGGAGTCGACTTTAACCTGCAACAGATGCTCAAACCTCTCTCGAATTTGGGAGTCGAATGTTGGTCATATATAGTCGACTCTTTGAGGTTTTAGAGTCGACTCTTCATGTATAGAGTCGACTCTAACCTGCGACATGGTGCTCCAACCTCTCTGGAATTTTGGAGTCGAATGTTGCTCCCATATAGTCGACTCTTGAAGGCTTGACAGTCGATTCTTGATGTATATAGTCAACTCTAACATGCAGCAAATGCAGCAAATGCTCAAACCTCTTTAATATGCCCCAACTTTTATACTTTTTCTTATTGCACTTTGATTTTACCATAGCACATTACATATATTGTCATTTATTATATCATAATTTTTGGATTTATCACATTATTATGAATGTGTACTACTTATATAATTCCTCATGTCATAATCATAAATTAAAAGATAAGTATATAAGTACCACATGCAACATTTAACATGACCATTTGCATATTCTAAACTTGCAAGTCACAATAATTCAGTTAATATTACCACAAACCATTCAATTCCAACTGACATATATACTTATGTCCTAACAAGTTCAAATCGTCCATCCAAAAAATAAAAGTATTTTTCTCAAGTAGCAAGAACATGCCATATTTTGAGTTCGCAACCTCATGCACATTGATCATTCGAGCCCAAAAGGACCCTGGTAATTTGCATCAAATCTCGGCTGATAACCAAACTCATCTTGCGGGGGATTGGGTGAAGATGTATTTGGAGCTTCTGACTGTCTCCCCATTTGGCCCATTGGGAATGCAGGTTCTATTGGGAATTGCATTGGCATTGCATGAGGAAATGATGGCCCACTAGCATGAAACGATGGCTCAGCAGTAGGGAATGATGTCCCTACAGGAGGAAATGCTTGCCCGGTGTGAGGCAACGATGGGGTAGCACTAGGCGGGTGCATCTCGTACGCACTGAAAGCAATGAATTGCTGCGATAGAGAAGCATGCATCCTCCCAATTTCTTCAATCATCCGTTGCATTGCTTCTCGTTGCTCTTTGATTTGCCGTATTTCATCTCGCATCATTTGCATTGCCTCCCTATCTTTCGCTTGTTTTTCGGCCATGTCTGATAACATCAAGCTCATATATGAATTCCCCTTTGGTTGTCGCTTTCTATATGTAAACCCAAGTTCCTCTAGGTTTACCTGTAAATCAATTCCCGGCATGAAATTGCTATGACATCCACCAACAGCAACTGCCCAAGCGTTATTGTCTCGTGACGACCATGATGCTGAGTCTGAGCCATAAGTAGCAGAGCACTCACTGACATACGTATCTTACAAAAGTAACGCAAAAAAAAACCTACAATATATGACTGTAAATTTTTGCCACAGTATACACATAACAATGCCGAAAAATGTAACCATTATTATTTACGAACAAGTGATAACAAAGTAGCAATCATGGAGCGACAAGCAATATCCAAGCACAATTTTTTCATGAACACCTACACATACTAATATTTACTAATGCAAAATTTTTGTTATATTGTACTTAACACCATTCACTTTACTAATATACCTTTATTCACTTTTTTCAACAATCTATGTCACTCATAGAAAACTTTTTATCCAGTATGTTTGCACTTACATGACGATCCTTATGTTTGTCGCCACACCATGGAGCTTCCTGCCCTTGGGGGACACTTTTTCGCAAAGTGTGTGTTTCCTTATATAGGTCTTGGTGTGCTGGCCTTATCCCCCCAGCAGCTTTGGTCTATGTGTCAACCACATTACGACAAATAGCAAGTTATTTATATTTATAGTTAATCGATAATCATACAAAAAAGTAGTATATATTGTGTTCATTATCTATTATATATACACATTTTTCTTTCTTTTCTTACTTACCATCCGTTCTTCATATACATCAAAACTCACTGATCCTGTAGTGTGTGAAACTCGTTCCCCAAATGCTCGGTTTTTCTTCCCCCTCTCGCTAAGAATGTGAAACTCATCAGAATCCCAGTAAGTGCATAATGTAGGTCATAGGTGCTTGGGCACCCATATCGGCCTATACTCACCGTTTGTACGCCACTTATCCCGCTCATCCTTCATATTATCGCCCCATCCTTTCTTCATTGATCTTAAGAACACCTTTCAGACCGCATCCTCATCCTCTACAGCCAATTGATAATGTGTCTGTCACCACATACAAACAAATTATTTTCAAGTAACTTAATAACATATAGTATAATAACACAATATATACACCATATCCCATTTTTCGTATATAGTTAATTACTATTCTGTCCATACGAAAGAGCTAATCGAAACAAATCAAAACTTTTAATACTTTATTGCTAAACTCAGAATTATAAGGATTTTTGTGTCATATAATGATTGTTGTGATACCATATTGTTTTACCAATGTCATATGATGATTTTTTTTTATTCATTTTTTTCTTGTTTTTAAGGTGTATGCAGTACTCATACCATTAAATTATCTGTATCGACCAATGCACCAACAATATTGAATTTTGCTTCATCATATATGTTGTTATGTTATCAGTAATCATACAGTACATATCTGATGAAAGGATTATGTATGAAATGATAATTATTCTTACTGTAAACAACTCCCACACTTGCACCCTTTTGTGTTCTAGGAACAACTCATATATGAAGTAATCACCATCATAAACCCTCTTTCATAGGGTCGTAATCAATCTGGGGACTTCAACATCCAAGAATGTTCCTTTATGCGAAATTTGTATAAATAGTCTCTCATCTGGTCTTCTTGCAGCATTTTTCGGTTTGTTTGGACCTCTTCCTTTCTGCTTCTGGTTAGAGGATGTGGCTGCTACATGAATAGAACCCTGTGGACTAATAGACTGAGTATGCCCCGCGTTCATTACTGGGCTAACATCACATGCAAGATCTACAGCATCGTGATGTCCTCGTCTCCCTAATGTGGTGCGACTCTACGCGAAGTTAATGGGCCCACTTGACATCCTGCAAAACATATGGTCATATAAAGAAGGTATGTACTAATGTCACCAAATAAATACATGTCCAGTTTATAAATTTTCTTTTTATAAGCATTTACAACATCATAAATAATGTAAATGAAACAAACAATGAAGAAACAGTCATTAGTCATTCATAAGTATATTTGTTAATTAAGAAGTCTCGTACACAAGACTTTTTTTTTTTTAATGACAACCAAATTTTAAAACTATTACTTTACATGACTTTCAATTATTTAATGACTATTCAGTCTCGCTACTATCGCCACCAGCATCGCTTCTTGTTTTATATCCATCATTTCCTTCACTTGCATTTTCATCAACATCATCATTTGCATTTCCATTTAAGTCAACCATTGTTGCTCCTTCTGCATGCAAATCCACACATTCTGTGGATGCCAAATTGGAATTATGCTCTGATGATTATGTGGATGGTGGCTCCTCATCCTGGAATATTTCTTTTATATCAAGTGAAGTTGAACAAGTATCAATCAAATGTCTAGCACGTATTTTGCATGCGGCGAACCATACTTTAGTTGCTCGATTATCTGATCGGTAACTAGTGTAATATACTTGCATTGATTGACACACAAGGCAAAATGGCTCGCCGGTCGACAATCGATATTGTGGGTTGATCTCAACAATGTCGTAAACTTGGTTAATGCGTGTTCCCCTACGTGTATCGAACCAATCACAATTGAAGAAGACAATTGTCTGTATTTGTGCATGTGGTCCATAATACAATAGTTCGATGACTTCGTTAAGGATGCCATAATAATCAGTCTCGACATTATCAGATATGGTTATTCCTTTCACACATACACCACAGTTATATGTTTGTCTTTCACTACTGACTTTTTGTGTCATAAATCTAAAACCATTGACATAATAACCTCTGTAGACATTGACTGTCCATGATGGGTCCAGTGCAAGGTATTGCAAAACCCCATTCCCTTCATGATGGCCATTTAACACCTACCAAA